CACACATAACATAATAATCCCCCCTGTTCCCTGCCCCCCACACATAACATAATAATCCCCCCCTGTTCCCTGCCCCTCCCCCACACATAACATAATCCCCTCCCCTTGTTCCCTGCCCCCACAATGTAAAATGATACAATGAACCCCCTCACCTGCTTGTCTTTCTGCAGGGGGGAGGCGAGCAGGCAGATCCCTGGTGATCTAGTGTGATTAGTAAGGTCTGCAGACCTTACTAATCACTTTGTTTTCGACCCGGAGCTCAGTGAAGAGCTCCGGCCGAATGCAAGGGAGACAGACCAGCAGGAGCAGCTGCTCCCACGAGTCAGGTATGCGGTCTGAGACCGCAAGCCTGACAGGAATTTCCACTCACCTGCACGGCATTTCCACTCGCCAAATGCGAGCAGGCGAGAGGAAATTTTGAGCCCTGTACTAGTGGAGCTCTGAATGGGTGTGTGTTTTATCTTACTGCAGAACTGAACAGGAAAAAATTGCATAAATAATGCCCACAGATTTAGTGCATCTTGCTGTCTCAACTTATAATGATGTCTGAAGCACAATTGTAATTGTCATTTACCAGCTAACTAAACATCTACAGGTGAAACTCGAATAATTTGAATATCGTGCAAAAGTAATTGCAGTAAGTGCTGCAAAAGGGGCCCAAACCAAGTACTGAGTACATATGCATGCTTGTACTTTTCAGAGGTCCGATATTGTTCTATGTACAATCCTTGTTTTATTGATTGCATGTAATAATCTACTTTTTTGAAGTTGTGGATTTGGGGTTCTTGGGGTTTTCATGAGCTGTAAGCCATAATCATCACAATTATGACAAATCACGGCTTGATTTATCTTGCTTTGCATGTAATGAGTCTATCTCATATATTAGTTTCACCTTTTAAGTTGCGTTAGTGAAATAAATGAACTTTGCACGATATTCTAATTATTCGAGTTTCACCTGTATATGAATATTTCATTTATTGAGTCCATCTAAACCTTGTTAAAGTTCACTGAGCCCTGATGAGGCGGTGTATTGTGGGTCCTCGAAACGAGTTTTGTGTGATTTATATGATGAACAAACAAAACATTTGTTTTGGTGCTCTTGTTCTATACAGTGCAGAACAAAGCATGATCAGTAAGTAATTCAGAACAATCTGCTGCAGGGAGACCACAGGCATACTGGTGTATTGTCCTTCCTCCTCGGTCTGTGATTTTTCTAGACACTGCATCCACAGTTCAGTTCCTCTTTAAAGGTGTATGTAAACTCTAACAAAAAACTTCTTATTTGCTCCCTTTTGGTCTGGTAAATATACAATTGAAAGCAAATGATATACTGTATCTGTTCAATAGGTGCAAAAAAAAAAGAAAGAAAACAAAAACCTGTTGATCCTGCCAGAAATGTAGCAAGCTGGTAAAACTTCCTGTGTTATTTGCCTGAGGTCCTTGCCAAGTAGAAAAGGGTAGCAGACTGATTCCCTTTGCTAATGTTTCTCCAGGAAACATGTGACCCACCATTGAAATGGGGTAGGCACAGTGCCAGGGGAACTCGGAAGGGGCACTACAGGGGGAATGTTTTAGTTATAAGGTAGGATTAGCACAAGTAGGATGCTGGAGAGAGCAGAGGATCACCACAAGTGTGGTGCTGGGGGAAGGGGGCGGGTTGTAGTGGTGCAGTAAGCATACAGGGGGATGCTGAAAAGAACTTTTTTTAGTATTTAGACCCTTTTTTAGTATTAGAATGAGATCCTAATAGGTTGGACTTGATGGACTAATGTCTTTATTCAACCTCAAATACTATGTAACTAAAGCCAAGCCTTCTTTTTTTTTGCTTCTGCTCACTGTCATCTTTTAGTATTCTTGCTGTCACCTTAGGATAGGAAGTGCGCTGCTCACAGGATCACCAGGTGAAAATACAGAAAAGAAACCTACTGATAAAAGAAAACTACTTTGTTCCCAGGTTTAGATACACCAAGTACAGAGCAGACGTATCTGTGTTTTTGCTTGCTTTGCTCAAATCATCTGAGGATTATGTATTTGCATTTGGGGGAAAAAAAAGTTTCTATTTGTGATCTTCATCGTCTGGGGTTAGCACTCTTGTTATCTGCATTTTTGCACTCTGCCGGCTTGTGTGATTCCAGAAAATGAATTCTGTTCCTGGGTCAAATTATCTGAAGTGAAAAGATTAGGTTTTAAAATATATACAAATATGTATTTGATATTTAAAGGCTATTTGTCATAAAAGGAAACGTGTGTTATTAGGCCCTGATGAACATAGCCATTGACTCTGGTACTAGAATGCTGCACCTGAGCCATGGAAGAGTTGCTTTCATTAGAGCCTTCACACCCTTTGGTTTTGCTTCATGACCGATTTCCTGTAACACATTTATTTAATTAACCTGGCTTGCATATCTGGCACAGCAAGATAATGTAAGGTATGCAAAACCACACAAGATGAATTGGCATTCATTTACATCTATAAGTCATTAAAGTAAACCTGTACTGAAAGTCATTTTGGGATGGCTATTGCTGAACTCTTGAAAATGCTAGTTACCTGGGTGTCTCTGAGTTCTGTATTTTCTGAATCCTTGACCAGGAACAAGCATGGGGGAAAAAAAGCACAAACCTTTGATATCTAGGGTTAGAAGAGGGCTCCTTATTTTCTTAGTGGTGTAGTGGTTAGCACTTCTGCATAGCAGCACTGGGGGTCCCTGGTTTGAATCCCGGTTAGGACACTTATCTGTGTGGAGTTTGCATGTTCTCCCTGTGCTTGTGTAGGTTTTCTCCGGGCACTCCGGGTTCCTCCCAAACTCCAAAGACATGCTGGAAGGTTAATTGGCTTCTGTCTAAATCAACCGAGTGTGTATGCATGCAGGGACCTTAGATTTTAAGCTCCTTAAGGGCAGGGACTAATGTGAATGTGCACTATGTATATAAATACTTGTAATAAAGTAACACTTCAGTTACAAAATCAGCTAGTATTCATCCCAGTAGCTGGCACCCTTAGGGCTTGTTCACACGACGTCCGGATTCTTTCCGGACCAGATCCATGCACTTATGCACCCAAAATGCATCCCAATGTATCCCTACGTGTTTTATGGGCTACAGTTCTCACGAGCGCAGTCCGTTCCGGTCCGGACAGAGAAAATACTGCATGTCACATTTTGTCCGGAAACGCAAAACGCGTCAAACGCACTGCAGCTAACATACTGACAGCCCCACTCTAGTAAGTAACGCGTCAAAAACGCATAGCTCTGCTCCAGATCTGGTCCGGACATCGTGTGAACAAGCCCTAAAAACATTTGTGGCTCTCCCTCTGCCTTCAGTGTGTTTGTGGATTACTACTACAACTGAAACACTGCAAGCGCAAAACTGAGGTTTTGGTTCTGTGCCTTTCATAATAGAAAAACAGCCTTTCTCTTAGATCAGATCTGCTCAACTATGACATTTCTTTTTGTTTCCTAGGGCTAACTTAGGAAAGGTTGTGGTTTTCTAGACTGATGTGGTTATGTTATACAGAGGGTGCTTTATTATTGCAAACTTTTTTTTTTCTTCTAGGATTCTCCTCTGTTTGACTTGATCAGACAAACAAGGGATAGAGAAGGATCAGTTGATCACCCAGAAATAGCCAGTACAGCGCAACAACCATCACAGAACAACCCTACAGCTGCAGATCTGTAAGTTTCCAGTAAGCTTTCCAGTGTTGCTTTATCAACTTTTTGATTATTCTCACACTTATTAAACAGTAAATTAAAGCTGTATTCCAGACTGATATAAATATAACACTAGGCAATCAACGTTTGCATTTATTAAGCCTTTCTCTGTCACAGCTGACTGTTGGCTTTACAGCCGCCCAATCACTGCCATGGGTTGCTGCAGTCTAATAGAGCCCTAATATCTCCTTAAATAGAACCTGTCACCATGTCACATAATGGTCCTGTGAGTCCCCGATGTGATGGCAATAAAGTTGTTATTAAAAAATAGGTTTTAAAAGTTTAATTTTTTTTTAATAAGTCTCCCACCCCTGTATATACGCACATACTATCACAAACATGTTGGGTGTGCCTACGTATGAAAATGGCAATTGTGCCACACATATTGGGTGAGACCAATCATTCTAGGGCCATCATTCACTCTAAATGGATGACCTGAAAAAGCGTAGCCTAGGTACAATTTTGGGCAACATAGTTTTTGCCACTTCTTCGTATCACACACAATTTTGAAGCTTTACATGTTTGGTAGCTATTTACTCAGCGCAACCTCATCCATTATATTTTATAGAAAATTTGGGTTTGATAAACTGTTGCCCCTAATATTATGCAATGTAAATTGCAACTGCCACAATTTTATTCTACAGGGTCTCTACTTCCAGAAGTAATCTCCAGGTCACTCTCCCATTTACCCGGGCATCCAGTCAACTTAAATATCTGGGAACGTACATCACGGTGGATGTTAAAGATTTATACGCAGCTAACTTTACTCCATTACTGATGGAAATACTTAAGGATCTTAAGAACTGGTCCACCCTTGTCATCTTGTGGTTTGGCAGATTTGCTGCCATTAAAATGAACATTCTGTCTTGGGTACTTTATGTGCTTCAAACCTTGCCAATCGCCATTCCTCCTGGTTTCTTCCACCGTCTGCACAGGGCTTTTGGTATCCTTTGTCTGGACTGGGAAACATCCAAGGATAGGCAGGCAGACCTTGACTCTCCCTCGGAATCGGGGAGTGGCGGGGCTGCCTGATTTTCAGATGTACTACTGGGCGGTTTACTTACACAGGGTTTTGGATTGGCAATTACATCGCAATGACAAACTTACCGATACCCTAAAGAAGGGCTTCCTTGGCTCTCCTCCCTCTTCTGTCCGCGATTCAAGAGCACCCTTTAATATCTGCCACTATCAGAACTGCACATGCAATACTGCGTAGTTCTTAATTTTCCCCCGCACCTTCGCCCGTGATTCAAGTTCTGGGGTATCCAGACTTTGCGCTGAGTGTTGACAGTACTCATTTTTCACACCTCTTGTCTGTGGGCAAATTTCGGTTGATAGACTTCCGAGAAAATTGTGCATGGTTTACGGGCCCAGTCCTTCAGTTTCTGGTTGACCCTCCCTTGGACCCCTGGAGTCCTATGCAACTCGGACATTTTCTACGGGCCGTACCGAACCCCCAAGCTTTTGATAGGCCCTTTACGATATATGAAGACATGTGCAGGGGCAAATTGCCTTCTCGACACGCTATCTCTACTTTATACAAATTGTTAACTATGCCTATCCCTCATTCCTACAGGCATTAGAAAAGAAATGGGGTTCACGTTTACAGACCACCAAAGACATACCATCATCACAATGTCATTCAAATCCTCAATCACCAGCAAATTTCAGAAAATGGGATACAAGATAGTGTCTCGCTGGTATAGGGTTCCTTGGCTCCTACACAAAATTATGGCCTCCATCCCTGATCAGTGTTGGAGATGCGGCTCAGAATCAGGTACAATGTTACATGTTTTTTGGTTCTGCCCACTATTGAAGCCTTTTTGGGATCAGGTTCTGGCTGTCAAAGAAGACCTAACCATGGTGAAACTCAGAAATAATCCGGCGGCATGTCTTCTACACATGCCTTCGACACCGATCTCCAAATACTCCCTCACACACCACTTACTGGACGCTGTCAGAGCATGTGTCTCATTGCTGGGGGAACAGTCTTGTTTCCCTACGATCCAATTGTGGCTCTCCACGGTACACAATATATACAGTATGGAGGATCTGACGGCATCTTTGAGGAATACTGAGGGGAAATGCTCTTCTACATGAGACTCCTGGATTTATTTTTGACACTCTGACCATTACACTGACCTCATGACCCGTTGACTGCATACTTCCACTCTTCCTGTCATATCACGCTCTTGTCACACAAGCTGATGAAGGTTTCGATACAAAATGTGATCCTGCCTGACAGACGCGGTCTCTCCAAACTGGTGAATGAGGGGGGAGGGGTGGGCGCAATAGGCTTCTACTTTACTTTCCCCCTCTTTTCCTTGTCCTCGCTCTCTTTGCTTTTCCTCTAGCTTGCTCTTCCCTTTCCCTCGCTTTTCTCCCGCTCTTTTCCCTTCCAAAATTTCCTTTAAATGATACGTTAATCATTTCTATGGAATACTTTCAGAACACTAGACAAATTGGCTCATGTTTTTTGACCCTCTTTATGTTCCAACACTCGGCTACATTGGTAATATCATATTTTGTTTTTGCTAATACTGTAAACGAGGATATTGATTGACATGGCCGCCATGTTTCCATGTTAAGACTTGCATTGCACCTTTACTGTCTGATGCTCACATGTCAATATTCCCATTGTTTTCTTGCCTGTTTTGTATGATTATCAGTCAGTTAAAAACGAGTAATCTCCAGGCCTAAAATGGCCTTTTTAACATGTGGGCAAAAATAACTCCTGGTAGTGAAAGAGTTAAAAAAAACAACCAAAAACATTACATGTACTACTTTACATACCATACTATCAGAAGTACCTGAATATGACTATATCAGCCTCCGGTAATCCCCTGCACGGAGACACTTGGAGGTGAAGGGTCAGCTAATCTGGCATCCTCCTGGCCTCCTGGCATACTCCTGTAATCCCCTGCACAGCAGCACTGGGAGGCGAAGGGTCAGCCAATCTGGCATTCTATTGTAATCCCCTGCACAGCAACACTTAGATGTGAAGGGTCAGCTAAACTGGCATTCTCCTGTAATCCACTGCATAGTAACACTTGGTGAAGGGTCAGCTAATATAGCATCATCCTGTAATCCTGGCATCCTCCTGTAATCCCCTGCACAGCAGAACTTGGAGGTGAATGGACAGCTAAACTGGCATTCTCCTGTAATCCCCTGCATAGTAACACTTGGTGAACGGTCAGCTAATCTGGCATCCTTCCGTAATCCCCTGCACAGAGACACTTGGAGGTGAAGGGTCAGCTAATCTGGCATCCTCCTGTAATCCTGGCATTCTCCTGTAATCCCCTGCACAGCAACACTTGGAGGTGAAGGGTCAGCTAATCTGGCATCCTCCTGTAATCCTGGCCTCCTGTCAAACTCCTGTAATCCCCTGCACAGCAGCACTGGGAGGTGAAGGGTCAGCTAATCTGGCATTCTGCTGTAATCCCCTGCACAGCAACACTTAGATGTGAAGGGTCAGCTAATCTAGCATCCTCCTGTAATCTTGGCCTCCTGGCATTCTACTGTAATCCCCTGCACAGAGACACTTGGAGGTGAAGGGTCAGCTAATCTGGCATCCTCCTGTAATCCTGGCATTCTCCTGTAATCCCCTGCACAGCAACACTTGGAGGTGAAGGGTCAGCTAATCTGGCATCCTGTAATCCTGGCATTCTCCTGTAATCCCCTGCACAGAGACACTTGGAGGTGAAGGGTCAGCTAATCTGGCATCCTGTAATCCTGGCATTCTCCTGTAATCCCCTGCACAGCAATACTTGGAGGTGAAGGGTCAGCTAATCTAGCATCCTCCTGTAATCTTGGCCTCCTGGCATTCTCCTGTAATCCCCTGCACAGCAACACTTATAGGAACAAATGTTGCCAGTCAGACTGTATTGCTTAACACTTAATACATTTATGAATAATATAATATTGTGAGGCTCGGACAACCTGTCTCAAGAGCTATAATTTTATTTTCACATCCTGGCAATTTCCCCTGTTTAGTTTCAGCTTACCTTTTTGTAGTTTAAAAAAAATAAATAAAAGTACTTTTGTCTGTAGATTCCAATACTCATTAGCATGTACTAGTTTCCATGATTGTTGCTAATCCAGCTCTACGTCATGACACTCATGTAATCCTTTATTATTATATTATGTCTTATTATATTATGCAGCACCCATTAAGCACTGATATTTGCAACAAGACACAGATACTTGTTATTGTAGTCCAATTTATACATCTTTGTGTTTCGCTGTTTAGTTTTGTCAATCCTGAAATAATCTTGCATTAGAGTTTCTATAATTACTCAGTTACATTAAAAAGATGACAAAATCTATCCTTTTCCCCCACCCAAACGTGCAAGCAATGTATTCTCAGCATTACCTACGTGATGATGTGTAAGTTACCTCCAGGGCAGGGTGGGAATTTACTGTGCATTATTCCATATGATGTGGAGCTGATTTCTCAACTGAGGAAGAGAAACTGAAGAAAATGGCATTGTTGGCACACATAGCAGATATAAGGGCAGTATCCATCGGGGAACATGCTGCACTCCCGCGGGCTTACATTAAACTGGATCCTTTCAATTAGCTATAAAAGAGGCGATTTCTGGGTTTTGTCCAGTTCTTTAAGTATATAATGCAGATATTGAGTGTTGAAGCAACAGTTTGTTACTAAGTTACCAAATATAATAATGTCTGTCCTGTAATTTTCAGCTATCTGTCACCTTCAAGAATAACGCAACAGGGTGCTGGAGCACCTACCTCATCCAGTACAAATGGACAGGGTCCTGCTCCGCCACAACCTCAGCAGAGATCTACCTCACTGTCCTTGTTTTATAAGAAAGGTACATGGATTGTCACTTTAACCCCTTAGTGACTGAGCTAGTTTTCGGTTTCTGTTCATAAATGACTGACACACTTTTTACATTTCTGCTGTGTGATTCTTCCCCGGCAGTAATATTCTTTCTTGCTAAATGTACCCACACATATTATATATTGGTTTTTAGAGGACAGATATGGCTATATAATTATATCAAACGTGTACCTAACGCCTCACTTAGTTCAAATAAAATATAAAAAAATGAGGAAAAAACGTAAAGAAAAAACTTTTTTCACAAGTTATGATTATTATTATTTTTT